CACCTTTCAGCAGGACAATAACCTAAAACAGAAGGCCAAATCTACACTGGAGTTGCTTACCAAGAAGACAGTGAATGTTCCTGAGTGGTCGAGTTACAGTTTTGACTTAATCTGCTTGAAAATCTATGGCAAAACTTGAAAATGGTTGTCTAGCAATGATCAACAACCAAATTGACAGAGCTTCAAGAATTTAGAAAAGAATAATCAGCAAATATTGTATAATCCAGGTGTGGAAAGCTCTTAGAGAGGCTTACCCAGAAAGACTCACAGCTGTAATTGCAGCCAAAGGTGGTTCTAACATGTATTGACTCAGGGGTGTGAATACTTATCTAATCAAGATATATTATTGTTTAATTTACCATTAATAATTTAAAAAAAGAACATAATTCTTCTTCCACTTTGAGTATTTTGTGTAGATCGTTGACCAAAAAATGACAATGGAATCCATTTGAATCCCACTTTGTAACACAACAAAATGTGGAAAAAGTCAAGGGGTGTGAATACTTTCTGATTGTCATGTTTAGAAGTTCATAAAATTGTTGAGTTGGTTGAAGCAAGTCTTTTCCCACCCACCGTGTGCTCATTTGCCTTGAACAGAAGAGGTGCCATACCGTGTGTGGAGAAAGTATGATGAGGTGATTTTGAAGTAGTCAGGCGCAGGAGGGTAAATCACAGAATAACATGATTTATTCTGAACCACAGAGTTACGCAGTAATGCGTAAAAACACTCCAGTGCGCAAAACAGGCGCACTGGAAAATACAAGGCACGCGGGAAATATTCACGGCGATACAAAATACACGGAGCTCCACCGAGCTTCTCTCTCCTCCACAATAAACAATCACACACAAAAACAAGGGGGCAGAGGGAACACGTATACAGGTACTGATGAAGGGATATGAACCAGGTGTGTGTGTAATAAACAAGACAAAACAAATGGAATGATGAGATGAGGAGCGGCAGTGGCTAGAAGGCCGGTGACGACGAACGCCGATGCCTGCCCGAACAAGGAGAGGAGGCAGCTTCAGAGGAAGTCGTGACAGAAAGTAAATCTATCATAAACATGAATGATCATTAACTAGACTCCTGTCCCCCTTAGTCTTACGTTGCATTAAAATGTGTCTCATTTTATTATCAAATTATCATCAATTAAATTAATTTGTCAAAAACTGTCTTATAAACGATTACATTTGAGATACCATATAAACAGCAATAGAAACAACACAGAGTGCTTTTTATTTGAAAATAACGTCACATTTTACAAACAAGGTTAAAACCTTGAACATACATAAAACCAGAGTAAAAACATTCACTTCTAAAAAAAATTACTTAAAAAAGATCAGATATAATAATGACAGCCATGCATTAGGATCTTGATATGTTACAACCGATCAATGTTCATTCCAATAGCGGAGGTGCATAAAGATGCACTTACCACACATTCCTAATTTTGCTACATTTTTGAGCAGAGTATACTATACATGATCTCAATTTTTGCATCAAGGCACCGGCAATTTGAAAAACGGAACAATTGTGCTGATTTATTGATTAATTGAACCATATCACGCGTGGTAGTTTAAATACTCAGTGGATACAGTGGCTTGGATGCCAAGGGAAGCCAGGCTTCCCCAAAACATTTACCAATATATACACTACCGTTCAAAAGTTTGGGGTCACTTAGAAATGTCCTTGTTTTCCATGAAAACATACTTGAAATGAGTTTGAATAGGAAATATAGCAAAATGCATAGTAAATGTAGTCATTGACAAGGTGAGAAATAATGATTTTTTATATAAATAATAATTGTGTCCTTCAAACTTTGCTTTCGTCAAATAATCCTCCATTTGCAGCAATTACACCCTTGCAGACCTTTGGCATTCTAGTTATCAATTTGTTGAGGTAATCTGAAGAGATTTCACCCCATGCTTCCTGAAGCACCTCCCACAAGTTGGATTGGCTTGATGGGCACTTCTTACGTACCATACGGTCAAACTGCTCCCACAATAGCTCAATAGGGTTGAGATCCGGTGACTGTGCTGGCCACTCCATTATAGACAGAATACCAGCTGACTGCTTCTTCCCTAAATAGTTATTGCATAGTTTGGAGCTGTGCTTTGGGTCATTGTCCTGTTGTAGGAGGAAATTGGCTCCAATCAAGTGCCGTCCACAGGGTATGATATTGCGTTGCAAAATGGAGTGATAGCCTTCCTTCTTCAAGATCCCTTTTACCCTGTACAAATCTCCCACTTTACCACCACCAAAGCACCCCCAGACCATAACATTGCCTCCACCATGCTAGACAGATGGCATCAAGCACTCCTCCAGCATCTTTTCATTTGGTCTGCGTATCACAAATGTTATTCTTTGTGATCCGAACACCTCAAACTTTGATTCGTCTGTCCATAACACTTTTTTCCAATCTTCCTCTGTCCAGTGTCTGTGTTCTTTTGCCCATCTTAATCTTTTCTTTTTATGGGCCAGTCTGAGATATGGCTTTTTCTTTGCAACTCTGCCTAGAAGGTCAGCATCCTGGAGTCACCTCTTCACTCTTCACTGGTGTTTTGCGGGTACTAATTAATGAAGCTGCCAGTTGAGGACCTGTGAGGCGTCTGTTTCTCAAACTAGACACTCTAATGTATTTTGTCTTCTTGCTCAGTTGTGCACCGGGGCCTCCCACCCCTCTTTCTATTCTGGTTAGAGCCAGTTTGCGCTGTTCTGTGAATGGAGTAGTACACAGTGTTGTACGAGATCTTTAGTTTCTTGGCAATTTCTCGCATGGAATAGCCTTCATTTCTCAGAACAAGAATAGACTGACGAGTTTCAGAAGAAAGTTATTTGTTTCTGGCCATTTTGATTCTGTAATTGAACCCACAATTGCTGATGCTCCAGATACTCAACTAGTCTCAAGAAGGCCAGTTTTATTGCTTCTTTAATCAGCACAACAGTTTTCAGCTGTGCTAACATAATTGCAAAAGGGTTTTCTAATGATCAATTAGCCTTTTAAAATGATAAACTTGGATTAGCAAACACAACGTGCCATTGGAACACAGGACTGATGGTTGCTGATAATGGGCCTCTGTACGCCTATGTAGACATTCCATAAGAAATCAGCCGTTTCCAGCTACAATAGCCATTTACAACATTAACAATGTCTACACTGATTTCTGATCAATTTGATGTTGTTTTAATGGACAAAATAAATGTTTTCCTTTAGAAAACAAGGACATTTCTAAGTGACCCCAAACTTTTGAACGGTAGTGTATGTTTTTATTACCTTTGTCTCTCTGTGTTTCATAATTTTCCTTAAATTCACAAGAGGCTGAATGTATCTCACTGGAGAAAGCATCCGAACGAGTGAAACAGCGCCTCTCTTTCTCAGTATGTGTAGCCCAGCTGATGTTGACTGGTCAAAAAGAGTATGACATTGTTGCCGCCCATAGCATTGAACGCAAGGGAAGCCAGCAAGCATTTGGCCTCCCTTGATAAAAAAAAGTAAATAAATTATAGCCAATCAGCATTGAGCTAAACTGAGTGAGCTCAACTGTGAATGGTCCTGGTGCACCAAAAAAAAAGGGTCAAGCCAGTTTGGATTTGGCTTCACTCCAATCACATCACATCAAAAGCAGAATGTCATTTAGAGAAAAAAACTTGAATTGTTGCATCTCGTTGTGTCATTGTCCCCTGGTGGCTAGCTAGATAGCTAAAATAGTCCCTTTCCTAAATTAGCCATGGATGGATATAGGGATTTGGACTTGTGGTTTTTAGTTAATTCTCCGTACTGGCCAATGAGTATAACGGTGATTCTGATCCAACCATAAATTCATACATTGTGCCCCTGGCCTGATAGGATGGAAGTTCAATTTGTAGCTAGATGTAGTAGGCTAATGTTAACTAGCTGGCCTGGCGCATCGTTGCCCATGAAGGGAAGTTAGGCTAGCTAGCAAGCATTCTAGCCAGGTAGCCAAGAACAACAAAAACTAAAAGCATGTACTGTATGACGGTCATAGACCGTTTCAGCAACATGAAAGAGAGTAAGATGTCATTGGCATTTCTTTACAAGTAGGATGAGTCTACATGCTTTTTCTACTTGCACACACACGCACACAAATCAGAACCATGGACAGCCACATCATATTTAGCTTACGTTGATTGGACTAAATCGTTTTTGAAATATTTTAGTTGTCACTGTATTAAACTAAGCTTTGGGGATGTGATTTGATAATAATAATAATAATAATAATAATAATAATATGCCATTTAGCAGACGCTTTTATCCAAAGCGACTTACAGTCATGTGCGCATAATTTTTTTAAATGTATGGGTGGTCCCGGTGATCGAACCCACTATCTTGGCGTTACAAGTGCCATGCTCTACCAATTGAGCTACAGAGGACCACATATTGTTGAAATGTTGAAGTTGAAATGGTGCTGGAATAGTGGAGGCTGCTCCTGTTTTCTTTTCGACTTGCGGTAACTCACCGTGGTTCTAAATCAATAGTTGTTTAGTGGTCCGAAAATGTTGGAAACATTAAAAAACTTGCTTAACCATGCTGTAGGTCATGTAACTGTTTGTTACATGCAAAATACTTTGTGGACTTCACCGGCCTTAGGCCTATATATCAAGGTGGCACGGCATATAACTAACAGGTTATAGAGCAACCAACGCAATTATCACAACACATAAGTTGTAATATGGCTTTTTTTTCCTGGCTTGGCTTCCCCAGTGATTTTACCCACGCACCGCTACCGAGTGCATAGTGCTAAAACAATTATGTCATATCTGAATTCTGCCATCTTTATGCACGTTTGTCACAGCTTGAGTTATAAGATTTGTAGAACTACCTTAGGTGTTCACTCAATTTACTGTAAGTGCTGCTTAACAACAATAACGTTATAAAATCGATGCTCAGTCATTAGAACGATGCAAGAATGTTCAGTACAAATGTAGTGGTCCCTTTTCCAGTTGTTACACAATGACTCCATCTGTTTATCTCAGCGTGACATCATTCGAACAAATTCTGTGAAAAGAGGGAGAGATAGTGACAGAAAGACAAAAAGGAGAAATTATTATCCTATAAACAAACCAACGAAAAAGCTGAAGCCACGGTTTCTGACAAACATAAATCAACACTGAAACTTTGCATGCGCACACACACACACATACACACACACACACACACACGTTAGGTTCTTCTATCCTCGTGGGGACCTCAAATTAATTTCCATTTTTCCTAACCCCTAACTCTAAACCTAATCCTGACCTCTCCCTCAACGTGATCAAGACAAAGGAGATGATTGTGGACTACAGGAAAAGGAGGACCAAGCAGATTGAGAGCTTCAAGTTCCTTGGTGTCCACATCACCAACAAACTATCATGGTCCAAATACACCAAGACAGTCATGAAGAGGGCACGACAAAGCCTATTCCCCCTCAGGAGACTGAAAAGATTTGGCATGGGTCCTCAGATCCTCAAAAGTTCTACAGTTGCACCATCGAGAGCATCCTGACTGGTTGCATCACCGCCTGATATGGCAAATGCTCGGCCTCCAACCGCAAGGCACTAAAGAGGGTAGTGCGTACGGCCCAGTACATCACTGGGGCCAAGCTTCCTGCCATCCAGGACCTCTATACCAGGCGGTGTCAGAGGAAGGCCCTAAAAATTGCCAAAGACTCCAGCCACCCTAGTCATAGACTGTTCTCTCTGCTACCGCACGGCAAGCGGTACCGGAGCGCCAAGTCTAGGTCCAAAAGGCTTCTTAACAGCTTCTACTCCCAAGCCATAAGACTCCTGAACAGATAATCAAATGGCTACCCGGACTATTTGTATTGTCCCCCCCCCAACCCCTCTTTTTACGCTGCTGCTACTCTCTGTTTATTATCTATGCATAGTCACTTTACCTCTACCCACAAGAACATATGACCTCAATTTACCTCGACTAACCTGTGCCCCCGCACATTGACTCTGTACCAGTACATAGCCACACATAGCCTCACTAAGTTATTTTACTGCTGCTCTTTAATTATTTTTTATTTTTCTTATTTTTACTTATTATTTTCTTATTTTTACTTATCTATTTTTTACTTAACACTTATTTTTCTTAACTGCATTGTTGGTTAAGGGCTTGTAAGTAAGCATTTCACTGTAAGGTCTACACCTGTTGTATTCGGTGCATGTGACAAATAAAATGTGATTTGATTTGATTTTACCCTAACCTTGCCCTAACCTTAACCCTAACCCTAACCTTAACCCGTAACCCTAATCCTAAACCTAACCCCTAAGCTTAAAATAGCCTTTGTCCTCATGGGGACATGGGAAATGTCCCTATGAGGGAGATTTTCCTTGTTTTACTATCCTTGTGGGGACATTTGGGGATTTTAGGTCCCCACAAGGATAGAAGAACCAACCCACACACACACACACACACACACACCCTCAAAGTCGACCAGTCCGTCCCCGTTGAGGTCCACATCTCGGAGGATCTCGTCAATCTCTCTGTTGGTCAGCTGTTCTCCCATCAGCTTCTTCATGGCCTCCCTCAGCTCCATTATACTGATCTTACCATCACCGTTAGCATCAAACTGAGAGAGGGAAAGAGACAGAGAAAGAGACGGAGAGAGACAGACAGACAGAGACAGAGAAAGAGAGAGAGAGAGACAGAGAAAGAGAGAGAGAGACAGAGAAAGAGACACACAGAGAGAGAGAGAGAGAGAGAGAGACAGAGACAGAGAAAGAGAGACAGAGAAAAAGAAAGAGACAGAGTCCAAGAAATAGAAAGAAAGAGAGAGTGAGAGAGAGAAAGAGCGAGACAGAGAGATAGAGAAAGACAAAGAGAGAGAGAGAGAGATAAAGGGAGAGAGAGGGGAGGGAGGATATAGCGACATTTACTCACATGAGAGAGACAGCAACCATCTCTGTCAGCTTTGAGCCAACACAATCTAAGGGAGAGAGAGAGACTGACCTCCTTGAATGCATCTCTCAGTTCTTTCACTCCGATCATGTCTGCTGTCTCTGCCAGCATCTTTGGGCCCATCAGCTCCACAAAGTCCTCAAAGTCTAGTTTGCCGCCACCTACAGACCAGATAAAAACATGACTACTATTACTCATAGTACAATATGGATATGGATAATACCTTTCTTCGCCTAAATATTTCCTGACTTTGTGCTTCCTTGGTTCATAATTCGTTGTAATAATCAACCTAGTTTCTGCCATAGCACTCTAGAGTTTCAGATATTCTATGATTCTGTGGTGTTTCCCCTGCCTCATGTTGACGATGCCATCAGACTCACAGATGGACTGGCCCAGCTCGATGAGCTCCATCTCTGTGGGCATGTAGCCCATGGTCCTCATGCACTCTCCCAGGTCCTTATAGCTGATGTAGCCATTCTTCTTCTTATCAAACTCCGCAAACGCCTCGCGAAGCTCTGCACACACACAGGCACGCACGTACGTACACACACACAAACACAGACATACAAGTACACACACACAGGGTAAGAATTAGATCATTTATATTGTAAAACATGTAATGGTCTGATTACGACTATGTCAGATAGAGGGGTATAATCTACCTTCAATCTCCTCTGGTCGTAGGTCCCTGTCCTGTTGGAGGTAGCAGAGGGACACACATAAGCAGACTGGTAGTTGCACATGAACACACACACATACACACACACACACACACACACATTTGTTTTACTATCCTTGTGGGAACCAAACAAAATCCTATTTTCCTTAACCTAACCCTAACCCTAAGCTTAACCCCAAACCCCTAACCCTAAACCTAACCCTAACTCCTAAACCTAACCCTAATTCTAATCTTAATTTTAACCCTAACCCTAACTCTAACCCCTAAGCCTAAAATAGCTTTTTTGCTTGTGGGGACCGGTGAAGTTTCAACACCTGTCCGGATTTTCCTTGTTTTACTATCCTTGTGAGGACATCTGGTCCCCACAAGGATAGTAAAACCAGAAACACACACACACACTCACTCATTCACTCACTCACTCACTCACTCACTCACTCACTCACTCACTCACTCACTCACTCACTCACTCACTCACTCACTCACTCACTCACTCATTCACTCACATACGTACATGTACATCACAAACACACAATCTGTTTACACACATACCCACAATCAGACAAACACCATACGCGCATGCTTTTATCTTGATACAAAAACTGCAGTCAAACACACAGATGCAAATCTAACGATCGACAAACACACAATGTACAACCACTGATGTTATGAAATGCGCATGCACAATGAGCTTCAATCACAAAGACCATGGGAACCAATTAGCCAAAGAAAGAAAGAGGTGTGAGAAAAGAAGGGATGGAAAGAGAGAGAGTCTGCCATTTGGTTTTCCTTGATAAAAGATAACACTTTTTAAAGGATTCAGATACAAAGGCAGGGCAGTACATGTGATTTGCAGCATGCCAGTAGACACACATTATTAGAAAGAGTAAACCAGGATGCTCTGCAAAGTTAGACTAAATAGTATATCTATCTAGTACATTAAGTCTAAAGGATGGAATATCTCTGAATCTAAATCTATACAGATTACATTGTATGAGCCATTTTTCTATTATGGAACCGGTAAAACACTTTTACAAAATGTAAATTACCGTAGGGGGGGTTGCCCCTGGCAATGGCTGGATATTAGGAGATTAGGGATGTTTAGTGTGAGTGAGACCCTTGTACACATAATGTGCATTGTTTGCACACACACACTGTAGGTCGTGCCTGTTTCGGTGTGGTAGGTCGTGCCTGTTTCGGTGTGGTAGGTCGTGCCTGTTTTGGTGTGGTAGGTCGTGCCTGTTTCGGTGTGGTAGGTCGTGCCTGTTTCGGTGTGGTAGGTCGTGCCTGTTTTGGTGTGGTAGGTCGTGCCTGTTTCGGTGTGGTAGGTCGTGCCTGTTTTGGTGTGGTAGGTCGTGCCTGTTTTGGTGTGGTAGGTTGTGCCTGTTTCGGTGTGGTAGGTCGTGCCTGTTTCGGTGTGGTAGGTCGTGCCTGTTTTGGTGTGGTAGGTCGTGCCTGTTTCGGTGTGGTAGGTCGTGCCTGTTTTGGTGTCGTAGGTCGTGCCTGTTTCGGTGTGGTAGGTCGTGCCTGTTTTGGTGTGGTAGGTCGTGCCTGTTTTGGTGTGGTAGGTCGTGCCTGTTTTGGTGTGGTAGGTCGTGCCTGTTTCGGTGTGGTAGGTAGTGCCTGTTTCGGTGTGGCAGATTGTAAGGTTGAGTGCTTTGATGGCAGAGAAATATGGGAAGAGAAAATCCCTGTAGATCTGTTTTTCCTTTTAGTCTTTACTATAGATGTTCTTCTTGGAATCTCCCTGTATATGAGCTACACTGAGTGTACAAAACATTATGAACACCTGCCCTTTCCATGACATAGACTGACCAGGTGAATCAAGGTGAAAGCTATGATCCCTTGTTGATGTCACTTGTTAAATCCACTTCAATCAGTGTAGATGAAGGGGAGGAGATAGATTAAAGAAGGATGTTTAAGCCTTAAGACAATTGAGACATGGATTGTGTATGTGTGTCATTCTGAAGGTGAATGGGCAAGACAACATATTTAAGTGCCTTTGAACAGGGTATGGTAGTAGGTGCCAGGCGCACTGGTTTGAGTGTGTTTTTCACGCTCAACAGTTTCCTGTGTGTATCAAGAATGGTCCACTATCCAAAGGACATCCAGCCAACTTGACACAACTGTGGGAAGCATTGGAGTCAACATGGGCCAGCATCCCTGTGGAACGCTTTCGACACCTTATAGAGTCCATGCCCCGACGAATTGAGGCTGTTCTGAGGGCAAGAGGGGATACAACTCAATATTAGGAAGATGTTCCTAATGTTTTGTACACTCAGTGTACACAGTGCACCACCACATCAAAGTTTGGTTCGGCTCCTCTCAGACTACTTTACAGTATATCATTTATATATCAAGTTTGATTGGTTGTCCCATGATGAATATGAAAGTGAAATGACACCTTAATTGTGGAGAGAATGTTATGTGGTGAAAATGAAGTGACATGAAGATGATGATGTGTGTGTGTGTGGGGGGGTGTGTGTGTGTTAGTGTCGTTGTGTGCATGAATGATTTAGTATGTAATTGTAAGTGTGATGAGTGTGTGTGTGTGTGTTCACTAGTGTGTGTACGTACGATCTGGCTGCTTGCAAAGCCCTGTTTGAGGAAGATGCAGGCGGGGCCCACGATGCTGTGTAACACGGTGCAGTTCTGGACCAATGCAGACAGCGGCGCCTTAAACTCCTTGTCCTCGCCCGATTCCTCCTCGCCCTCCGACCGTGGCCCCTCCTGGCCCCCTGCCCCCCCCTTTCCCCCGTGGGGCTCGACGGCCCCCTTAGAACCCGAATTATACAGAACTAGTGAACCCAACAGTCGTTAGTTTCACACTCTGTTTCCCTCTCTGTCTGCTGGGGTCTGACAGCCAGCTGTCCACAGCACTAGTCCTCAGGGAGATCAGATGTTGCATCAGCACACAGTACAGGACAGGATTGGCAATCTCTTCTCTTTTAAGAAGTTTAACTCTGCCTGTCTATTTATTTTATTTATTTTTAGTCATTTAGCTACATAGCAAAACCCTATCAGCCAGTGGCCCATTAGCCTAATAAGTAGAACTCTCTGTCTGTTTACATGGCGGTATATGTATTGGTTACAAAAAGCCATGCCCCCCCCCCCTCTCTGTCCCTGTTCCTCTTTCTCTTTCTCTCACTCTGTTTTTCGATGCTCAGTCTTCGTTCAGTGTTGGATTGGGGTGTTCATTCTGCTAAGTGTTCAGACCAAAGAACACTCAGCTCACCGCAGGGACTTAGCACAATGTTACATAACACACTTACAGAGTACGTCTGGTCAATAATTACTCTACACGTAACTTGAGTATTGAGTTGATAAAACCAGATACCATTGATCTCGTTTCGGGGCCTGCCCTTTCAGGAAACACAGGGATAAAGAACTCTGGGAAATAACACTGCTCCTTCTTATCTGAGATAATCAAAGAAAGGTCTACATTGTACAATACTGCAGATGCAGAAACATTAGGCAGATAGGCGAAGAAGAGACGTCACAGATTGTCTCTACTTGAGATATTCAGAAGAATGACTTTATATTGTTTCAGATCAATGTTGTGACAATCATTTAGATCAATAGCAAAGTTGCTTATAAATACACAGGTCCTTTTGTAAATTGAGAACAAATACAGAACAACTACATTTTGTCAATATCTTCATGATACTCCATACATAAACACAAGGCAATAGCAAGCAAGCGAGCAAAGGCTTCTCTCCTCCCATATCTTTGAAAAAACAAAGCAAATTGAACTGCTCTTACCTTCTTCATTTTGTTTTTCATGGATGGCTTGGTACAATTTCCCATCCCCTATCCTCAGTGTGAAGTAACACTCTTCCCTCCCTCTCCCTCTCGCTTCTCTTTTTCTTGTTACTCTATTTTCTGTCCTTCTCTCTCCCTCCACCCCTGTCTGTGGAGTTTTAAAGGTCCCACCCAACGTTGGAGTTCGGAGGAGGGGTCCAGGACATCCTATCACCCATTCACATCGTGGTCTGAAGAGTGATGTTTTTTTTTACTACGGTTGCCTAAAACAAACATGAACCTAGCCCACTTCTATGTCTGACAGAAAAGAGCTGCATGACATTTTGTCCATGCGTGCATTACTGTCTCTCTCTCTCCTACTCACTCACCAACCCTCAATTGTACCCCTTCTTTTAATCCCTTATCTCTCTCCCCCTCTCTCTCTCCCACTCTCTCTCTCCCCTTATCTCTCTACCCCTCTCTCTCTCCCCTTATCTCTCTACCCCTCTCTCTCTCCCACTCTCTCTCTCCCCTTATCTCTCTACCCCTCTCTCTCTCCCACTCTCTCTCTCCCCTTATCTCTCTACCCCTCTCTCTCTCCCACTCTCTCTCTCTCCCCTTATCTCTCTACCCCTCTCTCTCTCCCACTCTCTCTCTCTCCCCTTATCTCTCTTCTCCTCTCTCTCTCCCACTCTCTCTCTCTCCCCTTATCTCTCTACCCCTCTCTCTCTCCCTGGAGCAAGGCTTGTTACACCATTCAAATGACTACATATACGTAGGGTGTTGAGAGGCAGACGGAGCGAGAGAGGGCGAGATAGATAGAGAGAATTAGAGGAGGCAAAACGCAAGGGATTTAATCCCTGCATTTCAGATTAAAGGGAGAGATGGAGGGGTAAGAAGAGAAACGGATAGAGTAAGGAGATTGAGGGAAAGAAGAAATTGAGTCCAGGGTGGAGAGAGAGATGATGGACATTTCAGAGTGACAAGGAAAGAGAAAATGAAACTGGTCAAGGGATGAAAAGCA